TTCACATTTTGATTATTATTTTATTGAGCTTTGAAATTAACAAATAAATATGTAACAAATAAACTAACCATTATCTCATCCAGATTCCTTGATGACTTATTGGCTAAAGATATTGATGCTTGGTTTGTTTCAAGTTCCCAATGACTTAGTCAATAAATATAATGGAAACGTATATGCACACCTCTAATTGTTTGCACTGTTATAACATAAACGTGTTGAAAACTTTCTGTTTTGGGGTTTCCTTGTAAGTATCAATTCACTTCACAGAGCACTTTGCAAATATAGTTATTCAACCTAGGACCCTTTTCAAGCATGAGGTGCCAGTTTCTAGCCTTTTCTCTGAAACAATTGCAAAAAGTAAAATTGTATGTTGTTAACTTCTAATCAATAAAGTTCTTAAAGGAGTGAAGGAAGGTCTTGATTGATTCATAGGGTATAATTTTGAGCCAGAAAAATATGCCTTTGTAATTCAGAAGATATTGGTGACAAATATATTTTATGTGTTGGTGGCAAGAGGGCAGTGACTATGGCAGAACTATGAACAAAAAGGCTGGCAGTACTAATGGCCTGGATTTTGCAGTTGACAGTGAAGGGACGGTTGTCGTATTGACTTTGCAATATGTTTAGCAATTTCTGGAGTGTTGGTTTCCTCTGTTCTGATGTGACTTTAAATCTAGGGCCATCTGTTGTGTATCTATGGTATACAGTAGCTGTAAAATCATTAGGCCAGCCATCTAATCAGATTAGAACATTTTCAGGTAATAAACTTGGAAGCAAAAAGCACTGATTATATTTCACTTCTGAATAATTTTGCAGCAAGTGAAGGATGCGTTAAGACATACATGTGAGTTAAGGTAGAAGCTGTAATATATAGTTTTGAAAGAAAAATAAAGATTTAAAAATAAATCTAAATACTCTTAGGGCAGGGCACTCAATACCTATAAAATCAGTTTTCCAGGATCTTGAAAGGTGTTTAGTAATTGTAATTATGCATGGTTAAAAACTCTTGAATGTCATTTAACACATTCAGTCTTGTTGCAAGAATAGTGCAACAATTGAAATTCATATTAAATTGCTAATTCTAGACTGATTGCATGGGTAGAGACTGCAACTGGCCATCCCACAGAGGAGCAAGGTGTTACCCACAGTAACATCTGAATTTCTATCTTTGTGCATGTGCAGATTTTGCTTTACAGAATAATGAAAGAAACATAGCTAGAATCATAGCTGGAAAATCTGGGCATAAACATCCAAAGATTCATAATCTTTATTTAAATTCACTTGTTCAGAAGTTTTATAGCACACCTTTGACGCAGCTGGAACTTGAACCCAGGCCTTCTGGTGTGGAGGTGGGGACACTACCACTATACCATAAAATCCCCTCCCAAGAATTATATCTTGGCATGATGAGGCCTCTAAGGTTTTGGAGTAGATCTGTAGATGAGGCCTGTTTATTCATGTGGTTCAGCCTTTTAGCTGATTTGCATGTGTTGGTAATCTGAACTGTGAAGGAATCTATATAAGATAATTCAGTCATAATAAGAGGTTATTTGATTAAGAGACACTTTCCTATGAACTAAACAAATATGTAAGTACAGTTCACAATCCATAGCCAGGGATTACCTCACCTCAGAACCATTTGGGTGACCTCTGATAAGAGTTACACTCAACTTCATATGTTACCCCCTTCTTTTTTGCAAACTCTCACAATAACTACCACAATGTAATATTGATTCCTGATGATTTTAGTTCTAAACCATAATCACCTGATTTTTTTTACGTAAAACTAGCTCAACCCAGAATTGCATTAAAATCTTGGAAGAGCAAGTTGAGTACTGAAATTTGACCACGTTCAAGCTTGCCGCTTTCCACTGCACTCAATTTCTCAGAAATCAAGCTCAACAGATCTTGCCTAGAAATTAAAGGATGCAACATTATTTAAGTAAAAAAAGGAGGCTGAGCTCAAATGATAATAAGTTAGTACTCCCCTAGATAAGAAATTAGAACATAGAACAATACAGCACAGTACAGGCACTTTGGCCCACGCTGTTGTGCCAACCTATTATCCTACTCTCAGATGAAACTACCCTGCATTACCCTACATTTTACTATCATCCATGTGCCTATCCAAGAGTCGCTTGAATGTCCCTAATGTATCTGCCTCCACTACCACTGTCGGTAGTGCATTCCACGCACCCACCACTCTCTGTGTAAAGAACCTACCTCTGACATCTCCCCGTACCTTCCTCCAGTCATCTTAAAATTATGCCCCCTCGTAATAGTCATTTCCGCCCTGGGAAAAGGTCTCTGGCTATCCACTCTATCTATGCCTCTCATCACCTTGCACACCTCGATCAGTCACCTCTCAGATAAGCCTGAGCTCTCTCAACCTTTCCTCATAAGACCTGCCCTCCATTCCAGGCAGCATCCTGGTAAATCACCTCTGCACGCTCTCTAAAGTTTCCACATCCTTCCTATAAGGAGGTGACCTGAACTGAACACAAATTAGTTATACAACCTCAAGGAACGCTATAAATGTTTAAAACGCAACTTGGAATTTTAGACTCTCTGGACATATTCTAGCATCTCTTATGCGAAAGGTGCGACTGTTGGGGCTTGGCATTGATAATTCTCTTCTTATTGAAGACAGTTACTTCACTAACTATTAGTCTTTGTCAAGGAATTAAGCTAATCAACTGCAGCACGGTGGCACAGTGGTTAGCACTGCTGCCTCACAGCGCCAGGGACCCGGGTTCGATTCCAGCCTTGGGCAACTGTCTGTGTGGAGTTTGCACATTCTCCCCGTGTCTGCGTGGGTTTCCTCTGGGTGCTCTGGTTTCCTCCCACAGTCCAAAGATGTGCAGGTTAGGTGGATTGGCCATGCTAAATTGCCCAGTGTTCAGGGAGGTGTAGATTAGGTGGGTTAGAGTGGGGTGGGTCTGGGTGGGATGCTCTGAGCTTCAGTGTGGACTTGTTGGGCTGAAGGGCCTGTTTCCACACTGTAGAGATTCTATGAAATAATTAATGCATATCATACTTAAAATATTTCATTGTGACAATATATGAATTTCAAACTACTGTATATACTCAAGTAAAAGTTGATCTCATGTAAAAGTTGGCGCCCTATTTTTTGCCTTAAAATCTGGAATTTTCCATATATCTTGTGTAAAAGTCGACCCTAGATCTTCAGATAACAGATCAACATTTGTGAATCAAGGAATTATCCTGTACATAAACGTTACAATGAGGAAGTGATTTGTTTTTGTGCTATTATGTGTTTTGATCCAAAGTTCTCACAAACATTGAGCTATCAATTTCTTAACTTCATGATCAAGCGAGCACTATAATTAGTATAATTAGTGTGATACAGAGTTTATCACACCATCATTTCCTACATAAGATAAGCCTATATGCATTTACTTCACTATAATTACCATATCCCTGATATATCCCTGATTGATTGGACGTGCAGCTGTTGACAATTTCTCACGGCTACAATGATCAGTGAGACTGTATGAGAGTCAAATGTCTGATAACTTTTTTTTTATCAGAAATAAAAGCTTAAAATGTTAGCTTGAAAAACTAAAACAACAGTAGACGAGAGAAAACGGAGGGAAATGCAAGAATTTGGCTCGAAAGTTTAAGATGCATCAGGCCAGAGTCAGGTGACAACCTCCCTTCGTGTGCAATTGGGCTTCTGCTAACGATAAGCTATTTTGGACTGTAGCATGAATTTCAGCCCTTCAAAAGTAGTATCCATGTAAAAGTCAACCTCATAAATCTAACCTTAAAAAATAGTGTAAAAAATTTGACTTTTACACGAGTATGTATGGTAAATTCTCTTAGTAATTAGGTTGTATTTGCATATTTTTCCTGGAATGATTAATTTTGTGAAGACAGTTTCTGTAAATTGTATGTTTGTTTGTTTAATAAACTTCTGTGTAGTTATCTCACACAATCTTCTGAATTACTAGCTCATGGGCTTACGTCAGTTATACAGGAGATTAGTTAGATCACACACAGAATACTGTGTGCAGTTTGGGTATTTTTATCTCAGGAAAAATATTATTGCCATAAAGAGAATGCGACAAAGGTTCAGACTTGTTCCCAGGATAGCGGGCCTGTCCTATGAAGAGAGTTTGGGTAGTCTGCTCCTGTATGCTCTAGTGTTTCGAAGAATGAGAAATGATCTCATTGAAACTTAGAAATACTTAAAGGATATACAGGGTAGATGCAGGTAAAATGTTTCTCCTGGTTGGGTAGCCTTAAACAAAAAGGGAAGTGCCACTTAGGTCCAAATTGAGGGGACTTTTTATTTTAATCACTTATGAACCTTGAGAATTCTCTACTGTAGAGGGCTGTGAATGCTAAGTCTTTGTATATGGCTAAGGTATAAATTGTTGATTTCTGATTCCTAATGGTGTACAAAGTTGTGGGATGAGGTGGATAAAAGGCATTGAGTTTTCAATTATCATGATCGTAATAGAGAAAATAAACTCAAAATGGTTATAATGAGATCTTCTAAAAAACGATGTGCTCACTTGGAATGTAATTTAAAAGAGTAATTTTTGAATCAAATAAAGGAATAACAACTATCAGATAGGAAAGATGGAAGTTTCTTCTTCACTGTGATAACTTGGGCGTGGAATGGTGGAAATCCTAACAGTACAGAAAAAGTGGCTATCTGTGCAAAATATCTACCAAAGTTACAGTCAAAGAATTCCTGTGAAAATTCTACTCTGAGTGTTCAGTAGCAAATCTGAAATCCTACAGTCTATCTGAATATAAAGTGGGAATCTGTGATAAATGTATGCTTGTGGCATTTTTTTCATTGTTTAGATCATTTCATGTAAGCCTATAAGAAAGGAAGTCAGCAGCAAAGTAAGGGACAGAAAATAGGCGTGGGATTAATGAATACTGCTCTTTTTTTTTTTGACATTTCTTTTGCTAAGCATTAATACTTGTTAGGTCAATGATGAATGCATTTTCTGTTTTACTAGGTGCACCGTTTGCAAGAGCTTGTGAAGAAAAGTGAACAAGGCCTAGGTTCAGCTGAAGGACATATTTCCAGCCTGAAGGATGCGCAGGAAAGGCTACAAAAAGATCTGGATTCTACCAGGGTCAAACTCAGGGAGACAAGTGATTCCCTTTCTACTGTGCAAGTACTAATGACTACATTGTAGTTAACAATTCCTATATTTCCATTTTTCAAATTCTTGTTAAAAAGGCGCACTGAACCTGGTTTTTCCATATTTAAACGTACTGCAGTTTCTCTCATAGATTTGGGTAAATGGTCCACACAGCCCCCCATAATTATGAACAGTTGGTACATCAGAACTGACTGATGGTTAAAAATGCTATCCTCTGGGCAAGGAGTCTTTTTTTTTCTCGACACATATAAAGCAAAAATATCGATCCATTGATCACAAGATTTGACTCAAATCTGTCTGGAATTTGTTCATTATTATGTTTCATGTAGAGACTCGTAACTTAGAAAAGATTGTGCCAACTTACAGAAATTGTGCCAACCTAAAGGAATTGCACAACAAGACTTTTGCCATAGCTGAGCAGTTTTAATACTTCATTTATTGTTGTACAATTAATCTGGAGAGAGTTTTCTGCTGTGTAATTGAGGTTTCTTGAGACTGAAGGAACAGTGTATTGTTTTTTATTTTGTGTTTAATTTGGTTTTAGCAATTTATCAAGCATGCTTAAGGGAGATGGATCTTTCAAAAACAAAATAGGGGGCCAAATTTTCATCCCTACATGGGAATGGTATCAGGAATGACAGAAATTTATTTTCCAATTGGAATTTGAGATTTCTTTCTCACTGCAAATTTTCATGTGACTATTTCGGTTTGGGTTGTGACTTTTCATACATATCTACTGTTGAGTGGCTGCCAACCAGGTGCACTCCAGCCCGAAATACTATCACGGTCCTGATCACCATGCACCCCTCCATTTGCAGTATGGACTTCTAATGCCAGCTGGATGCTCGTGCAGTAATTTTAGTATGGGGGCAAGGCAAGGAGGCTGGTCTCAAGTCTACCTCACCCAAATTGAACCCTACCCTGTTAGTACCCATGGTCATCATCTAGCTGACTGAGTTAACTCAGTTACTGACCCAGTGACTGATTTTTATATTTTTTAAAAATCTTAAAATTAGCCTCATTTAAGATTTTTTTCTGTTTTGCTGTAGTTTTCTGTTGTAATCATTTCCTTCTAGTTGAACTGAGGTGATCCAAATAGATGGATCTATTCAAACTGTCAAAATAGATGGTAGAATTGCTGGACGTGTGTATTATCCCAGAGATGAGAGATAATTAATAGCCCTGTGGAAAGTTATCCCAGTCATTCCACAAAGGGATGTTGGGGCTTTGATCGTAGAAGATATGGTCATTCATGAAGGAAGACAGAAGTATTGGAGTAAAACACTTCTGCCAACAATCAAATTTGCAAATTGTCTTGGTCGTACTGCCCTTTTTGTAATTCTTAAATGATTACTACAGTAACAAGAATTACATCTTTGTGTGCCATAGGGAGAATTGGAACAACAAAGACAGGATTATGAGGCAAGACTTACTGAAGCAAAAGAAGAGGAGAAACTCAAATTGAAAACATTAGAAAAAGATTTGGAACAAAAATGGAAAGCAACTGTAAGGTAATTCTAATATTCTTTTTGAATATAATCTACTGCAATGCAAGTTCACAACAGTTAAAACATTTTAAAAAGTACGCAAAAATTCCCTAGTTTACTTGCCTTCTAGACTCTAGTTGACAGAAAGCACAGACTAGGTTTCTTTACTTAACGGAAACTACTATTTATTACAACAGATTCTAGCTGCAGATAAACAGTTGTGAACTGTCCACATTTAATGCTATCAATTTAAACTCTAATTTCCCGTATGAACTCCACTTTATATACACACCAAACAGGTAACAATAAAACATGGGTGTTGGAATAGGGAACACTGGACAAGCAGTTCAGTGGTTCACAGGATGTGTTGAGGTGATTCTTGTACTGATCAGAGTGCTACTCTTGGTCTTCAGGTTTAAAGCGGTTGTTTTTTTGCCGAAAGCAGAGGGGGTTCCTGGGCTGGTGGTTTGAATAGCTTCTCCGTATCTTGTCCACAGTGCCAAGTTGTTCCTGAGAACCTATTACACCATGGCAGGCAGAAGACCTTGGCCATTGGGAATTGGTCACAAGTCCACAAACCAATCTGCTACTTGTTGCTGATCAAAGCTGTATTTGTACATTACCCTTTAGCTGCAGTTCATCTGCAACCATTGCTATAACCCATAGCTGTGCAAACAGTTTGCACGTAACTATCAAATTCCTTAATTTCAAACCATGCAACAGTCCTTGCAACATCTGCTTTTATAACGACTCTTTTCTCATTTCAGTCCACAACTTTTTAAAAAAAAACACAAAGACAGAAAAATATGGTTTTTATATTTGTTCAAAATAAAACTTTAAAATTGATTATCAGTTTGTTTCCAAGTCTCTAACAAAAATCAGACATTTGAATCTACTTGCTGAGCGATACATACCTTTTAATAAAAAATTTCCCGATGAATCCTGAGACAAAGTCTCTCAATTTCAAAGTGTAGATATGTATAGAATATAGTCGGTGACAACGACTCCTGCTTCTCTTCCTTCTCCTGCAGTGTTATCTTTGGTGTTCTCTAGCGCCTTGCCTACTTTTCATCTATGTACCACACCTTAGAATTGTTTTTTTTTATTTATCGCTGGCATCGTAGGTACTGCTGGATGGCCAGCATTTATTGCCCATCCCTTGTTGCCCTTCAGAAGATGGTGGTGAGATGTCTTCTTGAGTCGCTGCAGTTCATCTGCTGTAGATTGACTCACAATGCTGTGAGGGAGGGAATTCCAGGATTTACAAGCCCTCAGATGTTTGTAGGGAAGATGATTCAGGGTCAACAGGACTGTTTCTGCTGTGGTGTATTCTGGTGCCTCGGCCAATGCCAGATGGTCCATCCAGTTTCATTTCTTTGTTGAGACTTCATAGTGATCGATAGAACCCAGTGGCTTGCTCTGCCATTTCAAAGGGTAATTGAGTGCCAACCTCTAAGAACCCTCGTGGTGCATCTCTGATTTACTTACAAGTTGTGTTTGGACCTCAGTCATGCACCTTGGGCTGCATTGGCAACTGTCATCGTAATGCGGCAGCAGGGATACCGTGTGCACAGGGTCATACATCCATTTCTTGGACCGGATCAAGCTACATCTCCAGCTCTTTGCTTACAGTCATGGTGCTCACTCACTGAGCCTACCTGGATGCATCCCTTCCTTGTCTTGCCTTTTTGTGCTTTCCCCCCCAGCCAGAGATATCATGCTCATATTATGGCTGTTGCACAGACTCATTGCCAGGAAAATAGTTACAGTTGTCAGTCGGTCTAAGTCTAGTCAAGGGAGATTACCTTTACTCAGGGGATCCTGGTACCAAAAGTCAAGGGCAGCCTTTGATACCAGTCCAGACCCTGCTCATGAGGTCTGAACTCTAAATTGGCACATTAACAGCAGTCATCATAGTGGCACCTGTTTACTAAAATTATGTCCTTTCCTTGGTGAATACAACTGCCTTTTCTCATTTATGCCTGATTGCACAACTTGTGATTATGTTGTAATCTCATTGAGTACTTCATTGGCAAGTAAACCTCCAGCTGTGTGCTGATGCACCACAATTTGATGTCAGTTTGGGATGTGAGAAAGCATCTTTCTGACCTGTGTCTAAGACCTAAATGGTAACCCACTTATTTTTAAACTGTGCCGTCCGGATCTAGACTCCTCAAACAGAGGAAACATCTTACCTGCATCTATCCTGCCTACCTCTGATAGAGATCAGCTCTGATTCTTCAAAACTCTAACGAATACAGGCACAATTTGCCCAATCTTTCTTGGGAACAAATTTGGTGAACCTTTGTTGCACTCCGAGTCTGGCAATAATATCTTTCCTGAGATAAGATCCAAACTGCATAGACTACTCCAGATGTAATCTCAGCAAGACTGCAGTACTCCAGTACTCAAATCCTTTTGCAAGAAAGGAAACAGTCCATTAGCCTCTAAGGTTTTGGAGTAGATCTGTAGCTCGGCTTGTGGGTGTGGAGGTTGGTTGGCTCACCGAGCTGTTTTATTGTTCCGCAGACGTTTCGTTACCGTGCTGGGTAACATCCTCAGTGCAGCCTCGGATGAAGCGTCGGTGTGTTTTCCCACCTGGTTTTCAAAACTCTGGGGTCCGTTGCGATGGATTGCCTCACTTCCGGGTTTCCTCCATAGTGGAATGTGTATGGGATCGAGTTCAATGTGTTTATTAATAGCCTGCTTCGTGGAGTGCCATGCTTCCAGGAATTCTCGTGCTTGTCTCTGCCTAGCCTGATCCCAGGCTCTTGGTGTTGTCCCAGTCGAATTCATAATTCTCCTTGTCCATGTGGATTGAGAACACTAAAAGCACTAAAAAACGCTACATCGGACAAACGGGAAGGAAACTAACAACAAGAGTACATGAACACCAACTGGCTACAAAAAGACACGAACAATACTCACTCATCTCAAGGGACAGGCTAGGCAGAGACAAGCACGAGAATTCCTGGCAGCATGGCACTCCACGAAGCAGGCTATTAATAAATACATTGAACTCGACCCCATACACATTCCACTATGGAGGAAACCCAGAAGTGAGGCAATCCATCGCAATGGACCCCAGAGTTTAAAAACCAGGCGGGAAAACACACCAACGCTTCATCAGAGGCTGCACTGAGGATGTTACCCAGCACGGTAACGAAACGTCTACTGAACAACAAAACGGCTCGGCAAGCCAACCAACCTCAACAATTCCATTAGCCTTCCTGATAGATTGCAGTACTTGAGTGTTGGTCTTAAGTACTTTATTAACAAGATGACTAATACACTTACTAATGTAATGAAACTATCTTGTTTTATCGGCACAACATCACATCCTTGTATCTCCTTGTTAGTCTTTTTTAGATGTCAAATATCCTTGAATATCAAGGTCTCCGTCCTCAACACCATGCAACCATATTTCCATCAAGGCACTTGTATCTGGTGCATTTAGTGCTATTTGTGCCTTTAGATCATCTATCTTGTGAAAACTATATACATTCATGTAGATTGCCCTTAACTTTGACATTATTCATAAAATTTACTTTAATTCATATTTAATAAAATTTCCTAATGATGCTACTGAAGTATTGAAATTTATACTCCCTGATGCAATAATACCTAATTTCAGAATGTTTCAAATAACCTTTAAGACAACAAGGAGGGCTTTAGAGAATTTGTTCAGGGTTTTGTGCTTGACTAGATTAGTTTTTAAAGAGGTCTTCTGATAGGGTATTCATGCACCACCAGAAAAAATTGTTTTATGTTGATGCCTTTGAGTTACTTAAAGGTCTTTCTTGATGATATTCCTGACATAAGTGAGAGTTCCTTGGTTACTGGCACATGAAAGTTGAAGGCAATTTGAAACAGAAGCAGTTGCAAGAAAATTTTGCAGATAGTCGCAGTATCTGTTATTTCAAATAAGGGTGCATTTCAGTGCATCTTTAGTAGACTGTAGTGCATCTCATTCAGACAACAACATTTTTGAACATTTCAATGTTCATTAGCATATACAATTACATAAATAAAAACCTAGCACTTTATGTATAATCATGCTTATTAAGAAAACAGGTAACATTTTTAGAATATCGTTACTTTTATTTGGAAAGTACTAAATACCAAGCAGTAAGTTGGGGAAAAAGTAGGGGAGTAGGAAAGATAGGAGCATTCATTAGATCAGAGCCATAGGAAAAGTAGATGCAAGCTGTAACAGAGGCTTAGAAATGCAGTGTAGAGATAGGTTTAGGATGAATTCGAAGTCAGGATTCAAAAATTTACATTTCTAAGAGATGTGGGCTCATTGTAAATGAAAGCAATTGGTTTGCAAAATGTTTTGCTGGGTAGGCTTTCAGCCATAAAACAAACAGTACATCAGAAAGGAAATATAAGATGGGTACTGTAGATTGTTATAAGAACCATATGCAAAGCTAATATTTGGATGAATTTGGAAGCAAACGCTTCTCTTAAATTGGCTTTGCTGCTATTGGTTTTAAGCCTCCATGACATTCCTTAACTTGTTGCTGTTTCACAGACTTTTTTAAAATTCACTCTTGGGGTTTTGGTGTCACTGGTCATTCCCGAGTTGCTGTCAAGATCGTGGTGGCGGGCTGCCCTTGAACCTGCTGCAGTTTACTCGGTGTAGGTAGACCCACAATGCTATTAGGAAGGGAGTTCCAAGACTGACAGAGTGGCAACAGATTTCCAAGTCAGAATGGTGAGTAGCTTGGAGAGGAGCTTGCAGGTGGTAGTATTCCCATGAATTTGCTGCCCTTTTATCCTCCTGACTGGAAATGCTGTCTAAGGAACCTTGGTGAATGTTTGCATTGCATCTTGTAGATGGTACAAACTGCAGCAACTGAGCGTCAGTTGTGGAGGAATTGGATTCCTTGCTGCAGAATTTCTCGCCTCTGACCAACTGTTTTCTCCACTCTAGCTAACCCAGTTCAGTTTCTGGTCAATGGTAACCCCCGGATTTTGATAGCGGAAAAATCGGTGATGATAATACAATTGAATTTCAAGGGATGATGGTTAGATTCTCTCATGTTGCAGATGTTTATTGTCTGCCAAATGTGTGGCGGAAATATTACGTGCTACTTTTCAGCTCCAGTCTGGATATTGTCCAAGTCTTGCTGCATTTGAATATGGACTGCTTAAGTGTCTGAGATGTTACCAATGGTACTGAACATTATGCAACCATCAATGAGCATGTCCACTTCTGACCTTATGATGGAGGGAAAGTCATTGAAGAAGCAGCTGAAGGTGGTTTGCCCAAGACAATTTCCTTTTTATTTACTGAATATACTTGGGCAATATTTAATGCTGGATAGATGTCGGCATTTTAGCTGTACTGGAAGAGCACTGCAAGTTCTGGAGCACACTTCTTCAGTGCCATTGCTGGAATGTTTTCAGGGCTCATAGCCTTTGAAATATCCGATGCTCCCAGCTGTTTCTTGATGTCATGGAGTGAATGGAATTCACTGAAGACTGGTATCTGATTTTGTGGACCCCTAGAGGTTAAGATACTTGCGGCATAAGTAGTGACACAGTTCTGCATGAAATAAAATAAATGCTGACAATTCTCTAGCGTGTTTTGATGTGCTGAAGCCTAAAACAAAGTTTCAGTTGAGAGGGACAATTCTGTCAGCTTTTGCTATAAGTATTCTCTGTGCAAAGGTTTGTGTAAATATTTCTTGACACTTTACTTTCTACTCCATGTGTTGTTCCGTGCATCACCTGAATGTAAAACAAAATCTATTTTTGTCTCTCTGCTTCTGTTGTAAATTATGTTGCTTCTTTTTTGCAGTTGCATTGTAAGGTTTCAATATAGCAATGTATCAACTGTAGAGTTAACAGAGGTTTGAGATTACGCTCAAAATATCTTAAATGAGTTTTTCATGAACCTCTGACAAACCATCAAATTTCATAACAATGTGCTCAAGGGAAGATTTTTGAAAGAGTTGGGATTATCTTTGGACAAACTAAATTTTTTGTTTTGAACATTTACTACTCCCTTATTGATGATTTGAGAAAACTCACTGCCTAAATATTCTTCTGCCTGCATGTACAAATTAATTTTTCCAACCTTTTTTATATTTTATGTTACTGAAGTAAAGTATTTATCTTAGGGAGCAGCGAGCAAAACTGTGTGAGGAGTTAGAAAAACAACATGAAGAAGAAAAACGGTCTGCTCTGGCCCAACTATCCCATCTGAAGGACCAGGAAAATAGTGTGGAGAAAGAAGTTTGGCAGAAAAAGGTGGAAGATCTTCTGAATCAGGTGACTGGGTTTTCTTATCAATAAGGCATTAATGTCTAAGTTTAATTTATGCTTATGCAAAACTATTTTTCCTTCCTTCATCAATACTTAATTTTCTTTTAATAGCAAAAGAGCATTAATGACTTCAAGCCAAAAGAAACTCCATTTCTTTAAATATGGGGCTTTTTTGTTGCTTGAATGGATTAGATAAATTGCTTTAAAGAACTTCATGAAAAATTTAGGAACATTAAAAAGGGTTAACATCCCACTGAAAAGTTGTAACTAATTTCGTCATATATGTTTATATGTTTCTACATTTTTCTCATTTTACCTTTCCTGTTCTGAAAGCAGTGGCTTGTGCAAGGTTATAATGCAATTGGTAACAATGGTAGGAGTGTTCTGGTAGCAAGTAACTATATTCTTTGTGTAACACCCTTGCCTGTAAGCATGAGTAGCCTTCCCTTTTATACTTATTTCTGGAATGTGGACTCTTCTAAGAAGGCCATCCCTGAAAAAGATGGTGAGAAACTATTTTCTTGCAGTGCATGGGGTGAAGGTACATTCACAGTGCTGTTTGAAAGGCAGTTCTGGGATTTTGACTCGGTGACAGTGAAACAGCAGTGATACGTTTTTAAACACAGATGGTCTGTGATTTGGAAGGGGGCTAGCAAATTATGGTGTTCTGATGCAGCTTGTCCTCCTTGGTGTTACAGATGGTGAATTTGAGAGATAGAGAGCCTTTGTGAGTTGCTGCAGCAGATTTTCCAGATGGCATACACTCTCAACAACCATGTACTGGTGAATAGGTTGCCAAATAAAGCGTGCTGCTTTATCATCGATATTTTCGGGCTTCCTGATTGATTTTTGAAGCTGCAATCGTCAGGGAAAGTGTTCTATAACCACCTGACTTCTATCTTGTAGATAACAGCAAGGCCATTAAGTTGCTTTGTGTTTATTTTCATTAAATTTCATTTGATAATTAATGATGCTATTTGGTTAAATTTCTAGTGAATTATTGTTTTTAAATGTAATTTTGTTTTAGTTCAAGATTTGATTTACTGTCTAAAGCAGCACATTTGAAACATTTCTATGTTTAAGATGTAAGAGTAAGGGAAGTTTCAAATGCAGTAAAGCTTTTTTAAGCTCTCAACTTTGCCCATCCATTCAAACCTTGCTGCTGCTTAAGTTTATTTCATTGACCTTTTCAGATAATATATTCTTTTCTATTATCTTTTCAGATAATATAATGTAAGAACAGTATGGTCACTCAGTGGTTAGCACTGCTGCCTCTCAGTTCCAGGTTTGATTCCAGCCTCGGGTGATTGTCTGTGTGGAGTTTGCACATTCTCCCCGTGTTTGCATGGGTTTCCAGTGGGTGCTCTGGTTTCCTCCCACGTTCCGAAGATGTGCAGGTTAGGTGGATTGGCCATGCTAAATTGACCATAGAGTCCAGGAATGTGCAGATTAGGTGGGTTGGTTGTGGGGAATGCAGAGTCACAGGGATAAGGGGTGGATCTGGATGGGGTGCTCTTCGGAGGGCTGGTGCAGACTTAATGGGCTGAATAGCCTACTTCCACACTGTAGGGATTCTATTTTTCCACAAAAATGTTGTCTGTGTCTACTTACTATACCTTCATATATTTTAATCTTAGGTTGAATTTTAAAACCATGATGTGATCTGTGCCCTTGTGTAAAGGAAATCATGTTTAAGCAATTTGTTGGACCTCTTTGAGGAAGCCGTGGATAAAGGTGAACAGATGGATGTACCGTTTTTAGATTTCCAGAAGGCATTTGATCAGGTGCCGCATCAAAGGTTATTGTGGAAACATATTAACGGATTGAAAATGGGAAGTGATAGCCTAGTGGTGTTATCTGACCTATGGTGAAAGTTTTATTGGTCTGACAGATTTCCAGCTCAGGAAGGATGTGAAGATCCTTGAGAAATGCAAGAGAGATTTACCAAGCTAGGGACCAGGGGTTTAACTACAGGGTTAGGTTGAGGATGTTGGGTTTGGTTTTGATGTAAAAGAGATTGAGGGTAGATTTGATGAAGTTGTATCTGATAATGAAATATTTTAAGATAGGCAAAGAACAGCTGGAACAAAAACAAAGTTGCTGGAAAAGCTCAGCAGGTCTGGCAGCATCCATGAAGGATAAAACAAAGTTAACGTTTTGGGTCCAGTGACGCTTCCTCAGAACCTGAGAACTGTTGCCAAAGCTGCTGTGTTTCTCCACTTTCTGCTCTTATTTTAGATCTGCTGTATCCACAGTATTTTGCTTTAATATAAAGAAAAGCTGTTCCCATTTGCTGATTATAAGAGGACTAGGAGATACAGATTTTAGCAAGAATTGAAAGGTGGTTGTGAAAAAGACCTTGTTGATGCAGCAAATGGTGACAATAGAATCACAGAATCATACATTTACTACACAAGGAGGCCACTCTGCTTAACATACCTGCACCTGCATTTTTATCTAGTGCCAATATCCTGCCTTTTCCCATATTCCTGCACACCACTACTTTCCAAATGACCATCCACTGTTTTCTGAATGCCTCAATTGAACCTGCCTGCACCACATTTCCAGGCAGTACGTCACCTTAACGAATTGCTGCGTGAAAAAGTTTATTTTGTCACATCACCCTTGCTTTGTTTGCACTTCACTGTAAATCTATGCCCTTTCATTCTTCTTCTTTTTATAAATGGAAACAGCTTCACCCTATTTACCTTGTACAGCCTGTTCATGACTTTGAAAGCATCAATCAGATCTCCTCTCTGCCTTATTTTCTCCAGGGAGAACAGACCCAACTTCAGTCTATCCTCATATTTGAGGTTTCTCATACTTGGAACTATTCTTGTGAATTGCTTCTGCACTCTCTCCAATGCTTTGCATCTTTCCTATAATGTGGTCCACACTACGTAATACTCCAGCTGAGGTCTAACAAGTGTCTTCTACAAGTTCAGCATCACCTCCTTGCTGTTGTCCTCTGTGGCCCTACTAATAAAGCCAAAAAAAGAAACTGAGTATAAAAATAGGGAGGTTTGACCTAAAACTATGCAAGGCACTATTCAGACTACAGCTAGAATACTGTCAACTATTTTGGACACCTTATCCAATGAAAAATACACTGAAATTGGAGGCAAAAAAGAGAAGGTGTATGAGGCTGATACCAGGTATGGTGGAATTGCATTATAAGGAAAGTGTGAGTGTTTGGACTAGTATTCCTTGGAATATAGAAGAATGAGAGGTGACTTTATTGAAATATACAAGATTTTTTGGGGACTTGACTGGGTAGATGTGGAAAATTGTTTCCACTTGAGGGTGAGGAGAACCAGAGGACATAATCTCAGACAGAGGTGAGGAGTAATTTCTTCTCTTCGAAGGTTTTGAATCTGCGTAATTCTTTACCCCTGAGGGCTGCTGACACCGGGTCATTCTGTATATTCATGCCAGGGTTAGATTGTAAGGGAATCCAGGATTATGAGGAAAAAGCAGGAATGTGGAGTTGAGAGCTGTCAGATCAGCTATCATCTCATTGAATGGCAGAGCGAACCCAATGGCTGACTGGCCTACCTCTGCCCTTACTTCATATCATCTTGTTTAACACTGTTTTATTTACTACTTTCTCCACCTCTTCTGTCACTTTCAATGATCTGTGCACATGTATACCTAGGCCCATCTGATTCTGCGCAACCTTTAGAATCGTATCCCCTATTTTGTCATTGTCTTTCAGTATTCTTTCAGCCAAAATGCTTCACGCCTCACTTCTCTTTATTGAGCCTCATCTGCCACCTGTCCGCCACTTCACCAACTTGTCGACGTCCTTTTGGAGTTTCACACTGTCTTCCTCGCAGTTTACAATTCTTCCAGATTTTATGTCATCTGCAAACTTGGAAATTGTTCCATGCACAACAAGATCTCAATCATCCATATGTATCAGGCAAGCAACAGTCCCAATACCACCCCCTCGGGAAACTCCACAACAGACCTTCCTCAAGCCCGAAAAATATCCCTTGACCATTAGCCTTTGTTTTCTATATTCAGCCAATTTTGTATTCAAATTGCCACTGCTCCTTTTACACCATGACCTACAACTTTCCTCACAAGTCTGTTCTGAGGCACTGTATCAAACACTTTCTGGAAATCCAGGCATACTTATTAAATGTGCTATCCTCAACAACCCTTTCTATTACCTCTTCAAGAAAAAATCTTCAAGTTAATTAAACATGATTTCCACTTCAGAATTCCATGGTGACTCTTCCAAATCATCGCATCTTTTTCCATGTGACGACTGATTCTATCCTGAATATTTGTTTCCAAAGGTTTGCATGCTACAAAAGCTAAACTAACTGGTTGGGAGAAGCATATATGAGTATACAGATTAGATAATCAATTTGTTTGTAATTCTTTTTGCAAGTTTTTGTTGAAATTTTATTTCCTTTTTTTTCTAATGAATAATGGAACTTGTCCATACAGTTCTCTTTCTGGGAGCTTCAAAATGCTGTGGCTGTATTGATGTATTGCAAGTTTAAAATGCCTGAGGCTGCTGTCTCAGACATTCCAAATAATTACACTGCCTCACTCCATTATTTCAGAGGGGACAGCTGTTGAAGTATAGCTCAAAGCCAGGCATTAAAGATAGCCAGGTAAATTCCTCAAACAGCATAGTTTCACCTCTTTCAAAAAAATGACATTCAGATTTTTGTACTAAGCTTTGTACGCAAGGTATGAAGTAAAGTGAATCGGAGCAGTTTCATAACTTAGCCATTAACTAAACTGCCTACAAGTAATTGGGTGTGAAAATGGAGATATTTCTTTGAAAACGGTACACTTTTGAGACTGCATTATGATTAATTGATTGTATAATGCAGAAGGAGCTTCAAACTGCATGTTCTACAATCTGCAAACACTTACCGCTAAAAATGCATAGAAGACATAAAGATTATCCTTTGTTTTAATCATGCACTTCCCCTAAGCCATTCCAAATCAAAATGAATGTTGAATACAGAGAGCAGAATTTTTTGCAGCATTGTTTTCATTGTTACTGTTAAACATATATTCTAAATATTTTTGCAGTGCACACTTTCACACATTGTGTAGATCAAACATCAAAATCAAAACCTAATGTAACAGAACCATTTTATTCTTAAAAAAAACTTTTGATGTGAATTTTGCTTTTTACACTATTTCGGTCTTGTGTAAACAAAATACTTGGACAACCATAAACAGTTGTTACAGTTTGTAACAAATTCAACCTGAATGTACGAATATTGAAAACATCATTATCTTACCTTTTTTCTTACTCTGTGACATTATCACACCATTCCTAATAGACAATGGTGTTTTCTTTCCATTTTTACTCCAAATTGTGTTTGTTAGTTTCAGAATTAGATCCTGATTTTTTAATTTTTGTGATCTTTTTCATAGCGGCACTTTCTAGGTGAAGCTTTAGAAAAATCTATCAGTAATGTAAGTGAGATGCAATTTTCATCTTGCCTGATACCTGACCTGTAGGTGTGGCATGCTGGCATTGCTCGATCTATTCATTTCAAATATAATTTCTCTAAATACCTATTCTATCTTAGAAAAGTAATGTTTGTTTTAAAATGTATAAAGTTTTAAAATTGGCTGTAAAAATAATGGAGATTCATTTTGCCTGTAGTACATATACATACATATGTATGCGATATGTATGTTTGTGTGTGATTATTGCATGTTTGCATTATTTGAATTGCGCTTATTTCTCATCACATGAACTATATTAACTTACAGAAAAGATCCAACCTAGTTATATATAGATTTAAAATTGTGAAATGTAATCCTTAAGGTAGTGCCCAGCATATGAAGAAATAATATGTTTCAGTGCATATTTTTCTTTTGAAATGTCATACAATCCCATAAGTTACAAAAGAGGATATTTATTTATCTTATGATTTTTTTGTGATAAAAAGCTTTACATGAGCACTGCATGGGAAAAGGCAGTTTTGTGTGCACCTATTTCTCCTTTTCACTTTATTCAAAAGATTTTCTGTTTTGTCCAAGTAACAATGTCCACCATTCCCATTTTTATGTGACTTTGCTACTGTTGCCATATTTCTTAACTTTTCTCAACATCTAAGATTAGACGGCAATTAAATAGGTTGTTTAATGTGTGGTTGAATTTGATGTATTTTCATTCGAGATTTTGGTTAAAGAAGGATTAATGGTTTTTAAGTTGTCTCTTCATTAGGAAGAATTGTAGTCCAGTATTATTTGAGGCTAATATATGGCACTAATTATTTTTCTTTTTCCTGTTGTTTGAAGTTGAAGTTACACAGTGAAAAATGAATAGAAGATATGGAGTTTTCGTATATTGTTATGCATCAAGCAGTGTGCCTTATAAGCTCAACTCCATACTAAGCTTCTGAAATGAAAACAATTGAGTTTAGTCTGTTAAACATACAGTCTGTGCATGAAATATTGTGCTTGTAGACTGTGCGTGTGCGCATGAGCGGGAAGTAATTTGATAGAAAGCAAACATCACTCGTGATTGCTGTAATTTGAATGATTAGAAGTTTGATGTTTATAAGTTGTTTACAGCATATGCATGTTAGTTTATTGAAAGTAATTTGCAGATGTACAAGATAATAGGATTTGTAATCATGAATAAAATTTATGAAGGTGCTCTGTTACAGTATTTCCAAGACAATAAATTTACCATGGTTATGCTGAAGAATAATTTTTAAAAATGTAATGCAGTTCTTTGCAAGTTTGCGGACACCCTAAGTATTTGAAATGCAATATTTTATGAAAATTAATTCTTTATTTAACATGTAAGAAAAGGGGAAAAATTAAAACTGAAGATTGATATGAAGGCACTTTAGAAGTTTAATGAGTGCAACACAGAAATCTAAAATTATATCTTCAATGTCATTTATTGGGTTTCCAAATAAATCAACCATATGGAATAATCGTTCAATTTTCAACTTCTTTTTTGTGGTCTTGCTTGCTCATTTGCATTGAGACCAGTTGTCTATGGTCAGAAAAATGTGGAACACTTTAATGGTTAGATTTTTCCCATCCTAAATCAGGATGGAATGGAGGTGGAACACAAAGAAAAATTGATGTGACAGCCTGAATGAAAATTTGCCAGCTCCCTTATTGACTCTGACAGTTTTCCTGCGTGTAGGATTCTGGTGGGAGGGCAGAGTATGGGGAGGCTCGGGGAAAAAGTATAGACCGGAAAGTGAAGTCATTTTCCGTAATAATTTGAGGTCAGTAGGAGCTCAGATGAGCTTGCCTTCTGATTCTGAAGCTGATGTGACCACTTGCAGCCTATCAGGAACAGGGCCAGCAGCAGTGAAACAGTTTCATTTAATCTGAAAATATGAAAGGTTGGGCAAAAAATGGACTGAGTAGTAATAAATGTGATTAACCAACTAAACCCTGCCCTATTCTGGGTCCCAGTTCTCTTTTAATGCTGGCCACTTTAAAGATAAATGTTCTCAAAGTTACCACGGCAATGGTTGCTGTTTTGAATCAGAACATGGCCCACTTCTATAGTGTCCTGCTTCCATTTCCACTGAACACCATAGCTTCTAACATGCACACTTTTGTGCTGGCAACCACTGATTTTTGATAGACCTGTCTTTGGAGCCACCATCAGTTCTGAGGAAGGGTCACCAGACCTGAAACATTAACACTGTTTTCTCCTTCACAGATGCTGCCAGACCTGCTGACCTTTAGCAGCAACTTTGTTTTTGTTCCTATCTTTTGGGATTGTTAGGATTCTTACTGTTGGAAAATCAAGTTTCATAGCATGCTAGAGATGGAGTGAAAGATGCTTTGTAAATTGGAATTGAACTTAAATCCCGTTTTTTTTGCCTTTGATTTTAAAATATGTTGCTTTGGGTAGGCATAGCCAAGTGTGAAGTTAGAAAATTAACTTCATGTTCTTAAAATCACGTTCTACATTTGTGCAGTTATTTTTTAACTTGTTAATTTTTAAAAAATTAACACGAATAATTCAACTTCTTGAATTCCTTTGCTTAAATTGCTGAACTCCAGAGAATGCTTGAATGCATGGCCTTATGTGTAGTGCAATAAAGGTTATTGTTCTAATATTCATCAGTCATTTGTCATTGCTTTTAATTTTTGAAAAGAATCTCCACTTCATGTCTTTGAGGTTAAATATATGGATGTGTTTAACTTACCAAATTAAGTTCAATATAGTTTAATTAGTGTCTTTACATTTGATTTATAAATATTGCTATCTTCAGTCCCTGTTTCACTGTTAAATTCTGTCTGCTATAGATATCTTTGCTAAAACAAAGCCTGGAAATGCAGTTATCCCAGTCCCAAGATTCCTTGCAAAATCTACAGTGCCAGTTCAACCGTGAGAGACAGCGACTCACACAGCAAATGGAAGGGATGGAAGAAGAACACAAACGCAAACTGGCATCTATGGAAGATGCACACAGGATTGCTCTCAGAAACGTGGAGGAATCCAAGGACCGTGAATGCAAGGTATGTTGTAGTATTATGCTTTCAAGTGTTGAATTGACAGTTTATTTTTCATTTTGTTTTCTTTGTGCAGTATCAGATCATTCATTAACCATTAAATAACAGGAATCTGAAGTTATGGAATAATCATTGGTGACTTTCTCACACTCCATCTGTAAAATAGAAGATTTGTGTATAATATTAAAAGTTGAGGGGATTTGGATGATATCATTATGCTATTCTATTCCAGTTTTTTTAAAGATCTCATTCTACATGTTGATCATAGAGTGCTTTAGAAGTAACTTTGCACTTTTGCCCAATATTCAGAAAGATTTTCTTGTTTTTCTATAGCATAGAATTTTGCCTTGTATCATGAGTCCTGTCTCATAATCCAAATCTTACTCAGGAATTACTTCATGTATGAACATTTTCTTTGGTTACAATGTATGATAATTATAATTTATATTCACACTATGCAGTACATGGTACTGTTTGGTGGTAAGTGAACCTTACATACTGGTTGGTCCTTGGATAGACACAGAATTTAATTCAGGAAATAACAACCTGTTTCAGCCCATTTGCTGCTAAAATCCCATGTTTTGACATAGTCAAATTGAAGAATAACAATGCTGATCTGGCTGGCCTCTCATCTTCATATCTGCACAAACTTGATTCCATCCAAACTCTGCTGCCTATATTCTAATTCACATAGTCCCCATTCACTCATTGCAGCTTGATCACTGACATATTAATTCCTGAACCACCAATAATTACGAAAACCTAATTCTTGTGTTCAAGTCACTCAATGATATCAATCCTCCCTCTGTCTTGAAACCTTTTCCAGCCATACCATTTTCTATGAATTCTGCAATTTTCCACTCATCCTCTTGTCCATTTCCACGTCCTTTAATAACAGTTGTGCCTTCAGCGGTCTCGATACAAACATTTGGAATACCCTCATGAAACTTTTGCACTTCTCCACCTCTCAATCTTAAGATAAAACTTACCTCTTTGTCCTAGGCTTTGGCCATCAGACCTATTATCCATTACTTAGCTCTGTTTCAGCATTTGTCAAATTAAGCTCCAGTGAAGTTCCTTATGATATTTTCCTGTGTTAAAGATGTTTTAGAAATACAACATACCATTGTTGATCAGAATAGGCAATAATAATCAGAATATGAGGGAAAATACTGCGGAAAATTTGTGGAGCTGCTCCAGGGCAATCTATTCTGAAGGCAGGTATGTTCTTTTGTAGTTGTAATTGAATTGTAGGTAATATTCATGCATTCACTATTTGCCATTAGAATATAAACAATTTGCTAGGATCTGGGCAAGCCATGCCCCCCACACATAAGACACTGTGCTGAAAAATATCACACAAAGGTGCAGATGCAAAATATTCTTAGGAAAAGAAAAAGTAAGCCAGTTGCTGACTTAAGGGTCCATATTTTTGTGAAATTATGCTTCAATGACCTCAATGTTATAATTGCTTGAATTCACTGCTTTAGTGGCTGTGTTTCATCAAGGATGTTCCCTGAAAGAATTTGGAAATGATTTGCAATTAAATAGTACCTTTTCAAATTGCAGTATCTAGTTTTTCACAGGTTTGAATTCTCTTTGCAGCTGCTGAGATAGCCATTTGTATTAATGAGCAATCTATTGCAGAGGTGTTCCATAATCAATGAGGCATTTTGTTAATTATATTTCAGTCTTTCTTCCAGCATGCACAATGGCATAATCATGATAACCAGCTGTATTTAAGCCCAGCATGGACTATCTGTTGGAATTTATTTGGGGAAGGCAGAAAGAAATGTTTGGTTTTATCAATGAGTCTATTATGAATCACTGAACGGGAAGAAAGTCAAAGGAATAGCCTCATGTTCTGTGGTCAGAAGGAGCAAAATGAAAGAAAGAGAGGAATTTGGATTGTTATGAAATCTGGTAATGGAGTCTTTGCCTGGGACATCATATTTATGGGCAATTGCTGTGTTCTCTCCACCTGAGCAAAGAATGTGTCGGTGATGGAATTCATCAATGCACCAGGGGATATCTGTTTGAGAGATACCACAAAGATCTGGGGAAGACTCCCTGGAAGGAACCAACTGCGAAGAAACTGATGGTTATGGTGACTTTTGATGCAACATACAAGGCTACAGGATCAGTTGATTGTTGCGCAAGATCTTGTTCAACTATGGGATGATCATTTCTAAATATTTTTCTGCTAATTTGGAGTCTGCACCTCAGCCACGTTGGAAAAACATCTATGGCTATAGCTCCCTTACACTCAGAGTAAAATCTCCTCCACCTTTGGCTACATTCTGTTGCCTTTACACTTCACCAACCCCCATATGTTGGATTCTGTTGTACCCTATTATGTTCCTTAGTAACCTTCTCTTTACACAACAAGCCTGGAAGCCTGTCTCATCTCCCACATGTTGCCCAAAGCAACAAAAAATGCAGAGGGACACAACACCTGCTGCCACTTTGTGTTCTGCCATGAACCTGTATCTCTGAAATAATTCATGAGTGTTTAAAATGTTGGTTTTAAAAACTTGGTACAAGAAATAAATATCTTGGATGAGGCCAACAGAAGTGTTTACACCTCTGCAAATTAGTGTTTTGCACACTGTGGGTAAAGGTTGCTGCAGTTGTGAAAGTTGTGTATTACACTGAATATTGGTTTTAGGTGGCCCAGTAGATTTGCATTTCACACCTATGTGCTTTGCCTCTTGCACCCTTTTCTATGCTGGCAAAAATGGCATCAGCCAGAAATGGGGTTTAACCTCTTCATCTGAGTCACACCCACCATTTTTAACGGCCTCCAGAGTTAGCCCACAACAAACAGCCCAGCTCGCAAGCAGGTACTATTGTTATATCCCACTCTCTCACCTGTCAATGCTCCAGCCCCACATCTTGGAGAGGGAATTGAGGGAGCCGGTTGTCGTCATCCACATTGGCACCAATGACATTGATTAGAGGAGACACAGGGTGGTGGGAGAGGATTGCTTTACGGACTGGAAGCCTGTCACCAATGGTGGGCCACAAAAGAATCAGTGCTGGATCCATTGCCTTTCATCATTTATGCAAATAATTAGGATGTGAATATAAAAGGCATAGTTAATAAATTTGCAGATGACACCAAAATTGGTGTTGTTGTGGACTGAAGATTTTCTCAGAATACAAAGGGACCTTGATCATGTGGGCCAATGGGCAGAGGAGTCGCAGATGGAATTTAATTTAGAATAATGTGAGGTTTTGCATTTTGGGAAGGCAAACCAGGGCAGGACTTACACAGTTAATGTTAGGGCCCTGGGGAGTGCCATAGAGTCATAGAGTGTTACAACATGGAAACAGGCCCTTAGGCCCAAACTGGTCCGTGCTGACCCATTTCCCTGCATTTGGCCCATATCCTTCTAAATCTTTCCTATCCATGTATTTGTCCAAATGCATTTTAAATGTTGTTAATGTACCTGTCTCAACTACTTCTGCTGGCAGCTCATTCCATATGCGTACTACCCTCTGTGTAAAAACTTTGCCCCTCAGGTTCCTGTGTATTCTTTCCCCTCTTACCATAAACTGATGCCCTCTACTCCTTGATTCCTCAACCCTGGGAAAAAGACATTGCATTCACCCTATCCATTGCCTCTCATGATCTTATACACTTCTGTAAGATCCCTCCTCAGTTTCCTACACTCTAAAGAGAAAAGTCTTAGCTTGTCCAACCTCTCCGTATAACTCAGTCCCTTGAGTCCTAGCAACACTCTTGTAAATTTCTTCTGCACTCTTTCCAGTTTAATAGCATCCTTCCTATAGCAAGGTGACAAAACTGAACACCATACTCCAAGTGCAGCCTCACGAACGTCCTGTACAACTGCAATGTAACTTCCCAACTTCTATACTCAGTGCCCTGACTGATGAAGGTTAGTGTGGCAAAAGCCTTCTTCACTGCCCTGTCTACCTGTGACTCCACTTTCAGAGAACCGTGCACCTGAACTCCAAGGTTCTTCTGTTCCACTACAGTCCTTAAGGCCCTATCATTCACCATGAAACTCCTACCTTGATTTGACTTTCCAAAATGCAACACCTCACACTTATCAATATTAAACTCCGTTTGCCATTTCTTGGCCCACTTCCCCAGTTGATCAAGATCCTGCTACAATTTCTGATAATCTTCCTCACTGTCCACGTTACCACCTATTTTAGTGTCATCTGCAAACCTACTAAGCATGCCCTATACGTTCTCTTCCAAATCATTGATCTAGATAACAAACAGTAATGGACTGACCACCGACCCCTGAGGCATACCACTAGTCACAGGCCTCCAGTCCGACAAACATCCTTCCACTATTACAATCTGCTTTCTACCATCAAGCCAATTGTGTATCCAATTTGCCAGCTGTTCCTGGATTCCATGCGATCTAGCCTTCGATCTAATGATCTAGCAGTCTACCATGTGGAACCCTATCAAAGACCTTAATTAAATCCATATAGTTTATGTCTACTGCCCTATCCTCATCACCCTTCCTGGTCACTTTATCAAAGAACTCTAATAAATTTGTGAGGCATGATCTCCCACACATGAAGCCATGCTGACTATTCGTAATCAAACCCTGTCTTTCCAAATGTATATATGTCTTATCCCTCAGAATTCTCTCAAGTAACTTACCTACCACATATGTTAGGCTTACTGGTCTACAGTTCCCAGGTTTTTGTTTGTAGCCCTTATTGAATAAGGGCATAACATTTGCTGCCCTCCAGTCTTCCAGGACCTCACCCGTGGTGAATGATGATGCAAATATATCAGCGAGGGCCCTGCAATTTCTTCCCTAACTCTTGCAAGGTTCTTGGATATAACTGGTCAGGACCAGGAGATTTATCCACCTTCATACATTCTAATACGTCCAGCACCACCTCTACTGTGATGTGGACTGTCCCCAAAGTATCGCCACTAACTTACCTAAGTACCCAAGTTTTCATGTCTTTCTCCACAGTAAACGCAGAGGAGAAATATTCATTGAGGACCT